GCAAGTCGTCTTCAACATGTTTAGATGCCTAAATGCACTGAGTTGCTGCCATGTGATTGGCTGATTATCAATTTGTGTTACCAAGCAATTGAACAGGTGTACCTAATAAAGAGGCCAATGAATGCACACTGCTCAAAAAAATTAACGAACATTTTTTTAATCACAGTGTAGCATCAAGTCAGTTAAACTCCTGGGATATTGATCTGGTCAGTTAAGTAGCAGAGGGGGTTGTTAATCAGTTTCAGCTGCTTTGGTGATAATGAAATTAACAAGAGGTGCACTAGATGACTAAAAATGAAACGACCCCCAAAACAGGAATGGTTTTACAGTTGGAGGCCACTGACATTTTTTCCCTACTCATCTTTTCTGACTGTTTCTCATTAGTTTTGAGCACTGACAGAGCCCTACAAAATGACCTCCAGCAGGCCACTGGTGTGAATGTCTCTGACCAAACAATCAGAAACAGACTTCATGCGGGTAGCCTGAGGGCCCGACATCCTCTAGTGGGTCCTGTGCTCACTGCCCGGCACCATAGAGCTTGATTGGCGTTTGCCATTGAACATCAGAATTAGCAGGTCCACCACTGGAGCCCTGTGCTTTTCACAGATGAGAGCTGGTTCACCCTGACAAACGTGAAAGGGTCTAGAGAAGCCATGGAGAACATTATGCGGCCTGTAACATCGCTCACCATGACCGGTATAGTGGTGGGTCAGTGATGGTCTGGGGAGGCATATCCATGGAGGGACACACAGACCTCTGCAGGCTAGACAATGGCACCCTGACTGCCATTAGGTATTGGGATGAAATCCTTGGACCCATTGTCAGACCCTACGCTGGTGCAGTGGGTCCTGGGTTCCTCCTGGTGCATGACAATGCCCGGCCTAATGTGGAGAGAGTATGCAGGCAGTTATTGGAGGATGAAGGAATTGATACCATTGAATGGCCCCCATGCTCGTCTGACCTAAATCCAATAGAACACCTCTGGGATATCATGTTTCAGTCCATTTCGATGCTGCCAGGTTGCACCTCAGACTGTCCAGGAGCTCAGTGATACCCTGGTCCAGATTTGGGGGGGAAATACCCCAGGACACCATTCATCTTATAATTAGGATCATGCCCCGCCATTGCCAGGCATGCATACAAGCATGTGGGGGCCATGCAAAGTACTGAGTACTATTTTGAGTTGCTGCAATGAAATTTCAGCATAATGGAATAGCCTGCTGAACCATTTTTTTCACTTTGATTTTCTGGGGGTCTTTGAATTCAGTCCTCTGTAGACTGATAATTTGCATTTTCATCAAACGATGGGGCATTCTTATGTTCTTAACACATTACCCAGTCTATATCAGTATGGATATCTAGCATGATAATTTTCCCCATTGAGATCTGATGTGTTTTCAAAGTGTTGCTTTAATTTTTTTGAGCAGTGTAGTTCAATGTCTTAGAATCAGGTTTCAAGTCCCTGCAACAGGGTCTTCAAATGATAGGACGTTATGGTAAATCACTTTAGACTCAAACCTCTGAGAAAAAGAAAAGTTGAAGTTCCCATTTCACAGCATAGCTTTTTCAATCAGTATTGAAATTCCTTTGACACACCTAATCTTTCTGAAGGTTTACAAACAGAAGTGGTTTGCATTGCCATAATGCCTTTTCTTCTTTTGGGTGGGTGACTTTTGGGTGGAACAAGCGGCCAGTCAGTGAAACCTTGCACCCAGCAAACAAATGTGTTACCCTCAGACAAAAGTTGTGTACTAACAATTAGATTATTGTACGATCTCTTCGAAAGCGCTATTTTATATACAATTTTCTGATCTAGGCTTTACAGCCACTATGTGATCTTTAGGAGGGTCAAACAAGATAAAAGTATGCTGGCTCTATCAGGCAGAGTGATGTTCTGCCTGTTAGTGACAGTATAGTACTTGTCAAAGGGAAGAAGAGGGACAGCAGTGCCATAGTGTGTGTGATCAGGTACATAATCACTGAATTTCAGTGCACACATAAGAATAATTCTTGCTCCCACAGACACCATCGATTCAAGGTTTATTTTGCTCCCACTGACAACAATGGGGACTTACTCAACTTCCACTGACGCCAATGGCAAAACTATTTACCCCCACTGTCACTGTTACTGATATGGAGTGTCATTTATGCCACTGACACCAACAATAGGGCTTAGTTTAACTCACAGATAACAACAGTGTTGTTCACTTTATCACACTGACACCATGATAGGGCTAAATGACTCCACTGACACTAATATAGGACTTATTTTGCTCAAGATGACACCAATGATAGGATTTGCTTTAAAGCTGAATTTTAGTCACCTGATAAAAAAAAACCCTCTTAGTAGCCCCCCCCCCCCCCCCCCCCCCCCCCCACACACACACACACACACACACATACGCTATATAATAAGGCTTATTTAGCCTAGGGGATATAAGAGAGGAATACTCACCTTATTCCTCCCTCCACCTTCTGCTTTTTTCCACTCCTGCTGTAGCCATGACATTTAGGTGAATGCTCAACATCCTCACATAAAATACAAGACTACTGGCAAGTAGGAATGAGCTATTGGTTCAATCCGAACCTAGGTTTGGACTGAATTTTTGCCCATTGTCATGTTTCACATAACTGTCATATGCCTTTAAGTTTTCTCTGTAATTTGTCTCTGCTCCTCCCTTTCCTTTGGTTTAGTTAATGCTGTATATATAGTCCACCCCCTTTCCCAGTAAGGCATTGCAGTTCTAGCCTCATGGCAAGAAGCAGAAACATTATGATCTTTTGATCTATCGGATGTTCATTGTTGTAAGATTCTCTCAGTTTATGGAATAAACTTCACAAGATCTACAAGATATCATCCGATTGAGTCACTGACTGGTATTCAACTGAGATTGGAGTTATCGCTATCTCATCACAACTGTAAGTTACAGAGATCACACTTTCAATGCTTAGATTGGAGAGACAGAACACTCATCTTGCTGTTTGTTTGGCAAGAGCCAGACATCATATATAGATGCAATATTTCATATCATTACCATACTGTTAATGGTTCCTAAGGAAGCAGTGGATGCTTGCACCTGTTGCATCCCTAGAAACCGCTGATGTCATTTCCATGTCCATATTTGATCAATTCTGCCACCAGTATCCCTGCCCCTTCTACAGTATATATATAACTGATAACCACTTGGGGAGCTGTCATTCAACTGAAGTACTTTTGGGATCGATTGTGGGCACTGGGTCATAGTTTTTCTTTTGACAACAGATATGCAACTCAGTAAAATTGTTTGGGATTTTTTTAGGACTCGTCAAATGTTTGGGTGTCTATTTCAAGGTTACACATTTTTGTGAACGAGTAGGGGTGCTATGTTCTTAACCTCTTATTGCTTACTACGTGTGAAATCTGTGAATGATCACTGAGGTCACATAGTACAAGGCTATTCACAACAGTGACAAGCTATGACAAGCTATGTGGCAGATCAGGAGTTTGCACATTTATGAAATTCTAGAGTTTATTGGTCATTATATTAGAGCACCAGTCACTTTGGAATATTGTTGCATGTCACGGAATTAGTTTGGTCTATTATATATTTATTATACATCGTTTTATAGGGTATTGTGTTTGATACTGAAGAATTCACAGGATATACTCTATTATTTATTTATATTTGTATTTTATGGTTTCTAAGGGGTATTTATTTATTAGAGATTGATTTATTGCAATTTTATATGCTGAGCGCTTCATCCCATTTTGGTTATTTTACATGTCCTGGGGTATAGGGATTAGGTGATAGCAGCTGGCATTAATAATAGTTAGTCTGTGGAGCGCAGGAGGACCTCCCTTTATATGACAAGCTATGACCAATCACAGCTCACACAGTATTTCTCAATGGCTGCAGGAATGCAGCCAGAGAGAAGGAGAAATGGTTGCTTTTACAGCCTTTATGGGTGTAAAAGCAATCGGTGTAAAGAAAAAAAAAATCTTCATTACCCCCCACAAGTAGTACAGTGTCACTATGGTGACACTGTACTGCTAGGGTGACAGTATGTTAAAAAAAAAATAAATAAATAAAATAAAAATAAATAATAATATAAAAAAATAAAATAAAAATGTAAAACAATTTTTGAAAAATTATAATTTTTGGTTATAAACTAATTTTACTAAAAAGATTGCTGAATATACATTGGCCAAGATTTATGAAGAAATATTATTTATTTGCAAAATTTTTAAAGAAATGCACTTTTTTTTCAAAATGTTTGGACTTTTTCATTTATATAGCAAAAAAAATAAAAGTCCCAGTAGTGAATAAATACCACCAAAATAAAGTTTTATCTGTCTCAAAAAATGCTAACAAATTCATATGGGTACAGTGTTACATGACCGAGCAATTGTCATTCAAAGTGTGCTAGCGCTGAAAGCTGAAAATTGGCCTAGACTGGAAGAGGGTGAAAGTGTCCAGACTTGAAGCGGCAGTGAGACAAGAACTTCCTGTCCCGCTCCTGAAACAAAAGAGAGCTGCTTAGCCAATCCCAGCTGGCCCTTTAAGGAGTTTGTTATGCTCGGAGGCAGGTGACCACTGTGATTGGATCTCACAGCAGTCACATGACCGGAAAGGTCCCGATCGCAAGTAGCAATTGGGACCTTTCCATGAGGCGCTGGAAAATGTGCCAGGAGCGCACAGGGCGCACACTCTCGGCGTATGTTTGTTTACTTTTGGTACGCAAATATACTGCTACTCACCGTCAAGGCCCAGCCACCGACAGGCCGCATATTTGTGTACCGTCTGCACCAACAGGTTAAACAATCACTGCTCCTGGTTGAATGGAATTTTTAAAAACATTTTTGAATTAGTACACATTCCCCAGGGCAGTGCCCACCCAATTCCAACCCCACGCTATATTTTTTGACACTTCCTTGCCTATTAGCCTAGAAAATTTGCATTTTTAATTTGACAAATCCAGTTCCTTTTGGTTTCAAAGGGATGCAGGTTTGGCATCCGGACTTCTTTGATGTTTGTGGAATCCTGCTTGGACCAAACCCAGGGCATTTCTGCTCATCCTCACTGGCAAGGTCAAGGGGAGGAATAAGTTAAGTAGTTGTGTCTATTACATATCCCCTAGACCAGTGTTTCTCAACTCCAGTCCTCATGGACCCCCAACAGGTCATGTTTTCAGGATTTCCATTATTTTGCACAGGTGATTTGATCAGTTTCACTGCCTTAGTAATTACCACAGCTGTTTCATCTGAGGGAAATCCTGAAAACATGACCTGTTGGGGGTCCATGAGGACTGGAGTTGAGAAACACTGCCCTAGACTAAGTAAGCATTAACCACTTGCCCACCGGCCACTTATACCCCCTTCCTGCCCAGGCCAATTTTCAGCTTTCAGCGCTGTCACACTTTGAATGACAATTGCGTGGTCATGCAACACTGTACCCATTTGAAATTTTTATCATTTTTTTGAGACAGATAGAGCTTTCTTTTGGTGGTATTTAATCACCTCTGGGTTTTTTATTTTTTGCTAAACAAATCAAAAACTACTGAATATTTTGAAAAAAAAACTGTTTTTTTCTTAGTTTTTGCTATAAAATTTTGTAAATAAGTGATTTTTCTCCTTCGCTGATGTGCGTTAATGAGGCTGCAGTGATAGGCATTGATAGGTGGCACTGATGAGGAGGCACTGGTAGGTGGCACTGATGGGTATTGACAGGCATCACTGATGGGCACTGAAAGGCAGCACTCATATATGGCACTGATGGGTGGCACTGACTGGCAGTACCGACCGGCACTGTTAGGCGGCACTGACTGGCACTGTTAGGTGGCACTGACTGGCACTGTTAGGCAGCACTGACGGACACTGATAGGTGGCACTGACTGGCACTGATATGTGGCACTGATTGGCAGCACAGATGGGCACTGATATGTGGCATTGATGTGCACTGGTAGGCACTGATATGTGGCATTGATGTGGCACTGAAGGGCACTGTCAGGTGGCATTGATGAGCACTGACATCTGGCACTGATGGACACTGACAGGTGTTTCTGCTGGGGCTGCACTGATCATCAGGGCACACTGATCACCAGTGCCTTGATGATCAGTGTACATGTCCCCTCTGAGTAATGCCGATTACCGGCTCTCCTCTCCTCTTGAGCTGTCAGCGTGACAGCTCGTGAGGAGAGAAATACCGATAACCAGCATTTCCCTATTTACATGTGATCAGCTGTGATTGGACACAGCTGATCACATGACCGAGCCGACATCTTCATATCTTCCCATTGATCGGTGATCCGCTGTGTCCAACGCACCACCGATCGCTGCAGTGTGCGCCCCCGGAGCCGCACATGAGCGGTTAGAGTGGGAGGACATCATATGATGTCCACCCAGAACGAGAGAACCAATGGCGGGCGCAAGGCGGTTAAATGATAAGTTTACCTTTTGGACAAAAATAATAAATGCACATTTTTTTTTTGCAGGTAAAAAAATATGCATTTATTATTTTTGTCCAAAGGAGCCTGGAAAGCATTGCACCAGAGATCAGTAGCTTGCTAATGCCATGCAGGTCTCCTGCAGACCTGTGAGAATATCTGCTTGCCGTACGGGATGTACAATCAAGCAGATATACTGACAGTTAACTTCAATGAACTACCATGGCACTCCACAGCTCTGTAGTAGTTCATTGAAAACTACAAGCCCCCAGCTGTCAGGATTTGCAGTTCATTCATTCACGGAAATCTGTGGGTAGCATGGCCATTTGGGATGAGCCCCACACTGCCACACTGTTTTCAAATTTGACAAATAGTACAGGGAGACGTCTCCCTGTACTATCTGTCAGAGGGAGGGGCTGCAGTGGGCGTGGCTGTGGCTATGGGAACATGTTACATGTTCCACCCAGAATCGGGTGGAACATTTAACATGTTTCAAAGATGAACTTATCCTTTAAAGCCTTAATGGGAGTGAATGAGCTGAGCTACCAAAAGGGGATTTTTACCATCCAGCTGGAGTTCAGCTTTAACATTCGCTTGCACAAAGGATGGGAATACTTTTTCTTACTGACACTAATTGCAGTTTATTTTTGGTTCCAAACTGACACCAACAATGAGACTCTTTTTTATTCAATTTTTATTGGTTAATTTAAAGGTAAAAGCAACATATGCAATCCTATAATCTGTTTACAAAATTACCATAGATTCTGTACAACGCCAAAAAACCGCCTGTCACATGTGGCTCTTAAAGGCAAACCAACACTACATCAACATAAAACATGACATGATTAAATATAACCCCCCCCCCTTTCCATTCTTGTCTGTATGCATGCCACAACTAATATCTATTGTCACATTATGCATCCAATATGCATGCAATATATACTGCTCCAAAAAAGTAAACACTTTTTAATCAGAGTATAGCATCAAGTCAATTAAACTCCTGGGATAATGATCTGGTCAGTTAGCTAGCAGCGGGGGTTGTTAATCAGTTTCAGCTGCTTTGGTGTTAATGAAATTAATAACATGTGCACTAGATGGGCAACAATGAGACAACCCCCAGAACAGAAATGGTATTACAGGTGGAGGTCACTGACATTTTTTTCCCTACTCATCTTTTCTGACTGTTGTCACTAGTTTAGCATTTGGCTAGGGTCAGTGTTACTACTGGTAGCATGAGGCGATACCTGGACCCTACAGAGGTTGCACAGGCAGCCCAACTCCTCCAGGATGGCACATCAATACGTGCCATCACCAGAAGGTTTGCTGTGTTTCCCAGCACAGTCTCAAGAGTATGGAGGAGATTCCAGGAGAAAGGCAGTTACTCTAGGAGAGCTGGTCAGGGCTGTAGAAGGTCCTTAATCCATCAGCAGTACCAGTATCTGCTCCTTTGTGCAAGGAGGAACAGGATGAGCACTGCCAGAGCCCTACAAAATGACCTCCAGCAGGCCACTGGTGTGAATGTCTGACCAAACAATCAGAAATACCCTAGGACACCATCTGTCCTCTCATTAGGTGCATTCCTTGACATTGTCAGGCATGCATATAAGCACGTGGGGGCCATACAAAAATTTCAGCAAAATGGACTAGCCTGCTGCATAATTTTTTCACTTTGATTTTCGGGGTGTCTAAATTCAGTCCTCTGTAGGTTGATCATTTTCAAGCTATGGGGCATCCTTACATTCCTAAAACATTACCCATTCTATATCAATATAGATATTCAGCATGATATTTTTCTCCATTGAGATCTGATGTGTTTTCAAAGTTTTCTTTTACTTTTTTTGAGCAGTGTATTAATTATGACCCACTTTTTAATGTTCTTCTGATAGGGGTAGTTTTAAAGTTAATTCAAGTAGCCCAAAAGTGTTCATAACAGTCCTGTGGTTTATATACCCATTCCTCAGCCTCCATAGTTTCTTAAACTCTAGCGATAACATTTTTAACATTTAACATTTTATGACACCAACTATAAGGCTTATAAAATTTGTAGTTTGGATGCTGACTGAGTCCAGGCTTGGACATCTTTCCCTAACTGCAGATATTGGGGAAGAATTAGGCTGGGTTCATACCAGTGTGTTTTTTACTGCTTTTTGCAGAAACGCACTACAGTCCATTTAACATGGTTTCCTATGGAACATGTTCACATCTATGCTTTTTTGAGCTGCTGCATTTTCGGAAAGGGTCAGGGACTACTTTTTATCAGTCTGCATCATTTCTGGCCTTTACCAACTATTTTTCATAAGAAGACCTAGTATAGTGCTAGAATTAATTGAGCAGGTAATAAAAAAAAACAACCAATCAGCCATCAATTATTTACTAAATTGTATTGCTATGGGTTACTCAGATTATTTTATCAGACAAGATGGCAGACTGGCTATTGCAGAAAATTAATGATTTCACATGTTGTACATGTTTTTCTTGTGCTGACAGCCATGGCAAGGGTTTCTTAGGGAACTATAGCAAGAACCTTGGAAGACCCCAGCTGAATTATTAATTTAAAATTAGTTGACCTGGGGGCTCAAGTTGTCAAGCCAGTAAACAGGTTTTTTTTTCAGGGGATAAACAGGTATGTTTGTAACAGCCAAGTGTGTATGTTTCTGAGCAGACATCCCTGGCACTGACCTCCAAGGGTACCATCTCTAACCTGAACAGGTATTCATTAAGAATACTGCAGCATTAAACAAAGTACGTATATTAATAATACACACATTATTTGATAATTTATCAAAGCATGTCATTTTTTTAAACTGATACACATTTCCTGGGGCTTGATTGCTGAGCTGGGGCTCATTTACGACCAATAAACCAATACCTTGCCCCCCCCCCCCCCCCAAAAGACACGGAAGCCAATTAAGTTGGAAACAGGGCAATGCCACAGCATTATTTAACATTCCAAATGTAACAAGTCTCCAAATGTGTCAAACCACAATGCCAGTCATAGTTATACTGTAAGTACCCATAAAACATAAACTCATATAGTCTAAGAGGCCTGTCCTGACCATCAGTGCCAGACAGGCATTAGACTGACCCCAGGATTGAACTTGAGGGCATAGTCCATAAAGCAACATCACTTGCTGGCAAGGTCAAACCAATATAGCTGTGACAAAATATCACAAGGGTGGGAGGGTAGGCAACTCTTGTGAAAGCTGAATCTCCTTAGAGCAGCTGGACGTGCCCCAGTATAGCCTTTTCCTAGAGTTCAGGCTCTACCCAGTCACCACAGCTCTTTGTACCCAATCCTAAGCAAAGCCACTTAACTTCCCTTTTAGTTTCACACCCACAGTGTGGCACTATTTGGGTTGATGCACATGATCACAATCTGTTTGATGTGGATTACCCTGGAATGATTGTGAAGTTTTATTATACCTTATGAGGGTATCGTGGATTGGAAACAACGTATTGGATTTGTTTTAACGTTTGAAGATCACAGTGTGTGGATTTTTTGATGGACTTTTATACACTTATATGATTTAGTTTTTACCATTAATTGTATTAGTTATATTTAGGGGTAGGGGTTAAAAGACTGTAGAAAAGGTTATATTTATTTATTTTGCACTTTCAAGGGTGAAAGTGACACTTTTCTTTGAGGGCTTATAGAGTTTAGTATATTAACACCCACAGTGATGCCATGCTTCTAGCAGTCAAGGCTCCCTTTCCCAAAAGAAGGTTCAAGAGGCCTTCATTGTGAAAACTTAGTGCAAGGCCTTTCATCCAATATAAATGGTGTAACATACAGTTAGAGCCAACTCCACAATGAATTGTTGATATCTTGAGATCACACAAAGTTTCTATAAATAGTTTTAAAACTTTGAAGTGGAAGTTCTGGCAAAACCTAACCAAGGCTAAACCTACTTTCACACCAAATCTAAGGCTATTCTATCTAACCCTGTGAAGAAATGATCTGTACCACACCTGTTCTAAAGCCGTCCCAGTCCAGTCTCCAGTGGCGGCTTCTGTGTACAGGAGAGATCGCCAACCACAGCAGAAAATGCCTGGGAGATGACGTCACCCATAGTTTCACTATTGGGCATCTGGGGCATGTGTTGTTGGCTGCTCCTCCTGAAGCCGCCAATGACAGCTGATCCTAGGACTGGACCGTAGCAGCTTCAGACTAGGCAAATGGATCTTTTCTTTACAGGGTAGAATAGACTTAGAATGAGGGGGGGAGTAGGTTTAATCTTAGTTAGGTTTGACTGAATTTCCACTTTTATCTTTTAATGGCATGCTTTGATAAGTATTGAATATATTTTTCATATATACTGTATATACAGTGGACATAAAAAGTCTACACACCCCTGTTAAAATGTCAGGTTTCTGTGCTGTAAAAAAAATGAGACAAAAATAAATCATTTCAGAACTTTTTCCACCTTAAGTGTGACCTATAAACTGTACATGTCAGAGCCTGGGATCAAACCTGGGCCTTCTACAGTGAGAGGCAATGTTTCTTCTCACTGAGCTACTTGGGATACTGAACTATACTCTGACTGATCTATTGGATAACCCTGCCTTGTCTTCTCTTGAACCTTGAACTCCTTGCTTCTCCCATGAACTTCCTATAAAAGCCATGTCCAGGCACTTCCTCCTTGCCAGATTATTGTGCCTTCCAGCCAATATCCCGCTCATCCGTACTGCTGCCATCTATATCATTTGTGATCGACTTTTGGCTTGTGACTGACTTCGCTTTTGTCTTATCCCTAAACTGTTTGATCCGCTCTTGGTTTCCAGCTTGCCCTTTCCCTGGTGGGGTGATCCTGAGACTGCAACCTGGTATTTACACGCAGCCAAATCCATCTCCACCATTAGGAGCTCTGGGGAAGACCGGAGGATACTTAGACCCTTCACCTCAGGTGAGCCTGCGTCATTCCCAGGGTGACCCACTGGTCGTACCAATCCTGCTAGTTTCAGGTACGCCTTACAACTGCTGTAGCAACTGGTCTCTGAACCTGACCCAGACCGTGACAGTACAACTCAATGACAAACAAACTGAAATCTTTTAGGGGGGAGGGGAAGTAAATATAAAAAACAAAAATAATGCGATTGCATACGTGTGCACACCCTCTTATAACTGGGGATGTAGCTGTGTTCAGAACTAAGCAATCACATTCAAAATCACATTAAATAGGAGTCCGTACACACCTGCCATCATTTAAAGTGCCTCTGATTAACCCCAAATAAAGTTCAGCTGTTCTAGTAGGTCTTTCCTGACATTTTCTTAGTCGCATCCTACAGCAAAAGCCATGGTCCGCAGAGAGCATCCAAAGCATCATAGGGATCTCATTGTTAAAAGGTATCAGTCAGGAGAAGGGTACAAAAGAATTTCCAAGGCATTAGATATATCGTGGATACAGTGAAGACAATCATCAGCAACTGGAGAAAATATGGCGCAACTGTGACATTACCAAGAACTGGACTTCTCTCCAAAATGGATGAAAAGACGAGAAGAAAACTGGTCTGGGAGGCTGCCAAGTGGCCTACAACAACATTAAAGAAGCTGCAGGAATATCTGGCAAGTACTGACTGTGTGATGCATGTGACAACAATCTCCCGTATTCTTCATATGCCTAGGCTATGGGGTAGAGTGGAAAGACGGAAGCCTTTTCTTATGAAGAAAAACATCCAAGCCTGACTAAATTTTGCAAAAATACATCTGAAGTCTCCCAAAAGCATGTGGGAAAATGTGTTATGGTCTGATGAAACCAAGGTTGAACTTTTTGGCCATAATTCCAAAAGAAAACAACACTGCATATCACCAAAAGAACACCATACCCACAGTGAAGCATGGTGGTGGCAGCATCATGCTTTGGGGATGTTTTTCTTCAGCTGGAACTGGGGCTTTAGTCAAGGTAGAGGGAATAATGAACAGTTCCAGATACCAGTCAATATTGGCACAAAACCTTTAAAAAGGCTTCTGCTAGAAAGCTGAACACGAAGAGGAACTTCATCTTTCAGCATGGCAACGACCCAAAGCATACATCCAAATCAACAAAGGAATGGCTTCACCAGAAGAAGATTAAAGTTTTGAAATGGCCCAGCCAGAGCCCAGACCTGAATCCCATTGGAAATCTGTGGGGTGATCTGAACAGGGCTGTGCACAGGAGATGCCTTTGCAATCTGACAGATTTTGAGTGTTTTTGCAAGGAAGAGTGGGCAAATATTGCCAAGTCAGGATGTGCCATGCTGATAGACTCATACTCAAAAAGACTGAGTGCTGGAATCAAATCAAAAGGTGCTTCAACAAAGTATTAGTTTAATGGTGCGCACACTTATGCAACCATATTATTTTAGTTTTTTATTTTCACTTCCCTCCACCTTCCAGTTTGTTATTCGACTGAGTTGTACAGTTTATAGGTTACATTAAAGGTGGAAAAAGTTCTGAAATTATTTATCTTTGTTTCATTTTTGTGTAGACTTTTTATATCCTATATATATATATATATATATATATATATATATATATATATATATATATATAATACTTTATTTAACACTGAAGTATATTAGAGAAGTTGGTTTGGCTCAATTAGTGTGAGAATTAGTGTGATATGCAGGACACAATGACCATTGGCACTTGTTATTCAGTACTAATGCATGTAAAAGCAACATATGCTCTTTTTGTAAAACCTTGTTACAGAAAAAAATAAAAAATCTAAGCAACTAAGTGCAGTTATGCTCAAACAAATTTCGTTATAATAAAAGCATTCATCTGCATGCTGCATGTAATAAGTCCTGAAGATATGGAAAGGGAAGAAACACATTATCATCACCAAAATAAAGAAGAGGCTTTTTAGTTGCACCCAAATTTCCTGGTGTGCTAAAACAGGCCTCTGAATTGTCCTCAGAACTTTTACAATTATGAAGATCTGTACAGCGAGGAGAAGACACACTGCTACAATGATGACCATAATCAAGATGTAATTCATGATAAGCACAGCTTTATTTTGAAATTCAGTTTGAAACTGGAAGCACTCTTCTTCATTTAATGGGGCACTGGTGCCATATTGTGTGAACACCAGTGGCAGGATTATAACACAAACTAAAAACCATACAATACCACTAACTAGAAGAGGATGGAGAGTCCTGTAGAATGCAATGCTATCCTTTTGTTTAAAGTAACTAACATATCTCATGGTCAATAAGATCACATAAAATATAAATGAAATATATATATGAATGTGGATCATGGCACTCACCATTCTACAAAAAATAAGTCCATAAGTCCATTTGTTTTGGAAATAGTATACAATGCGGAACGGCACACTTACAATAAAAATACCATGAACTACCAGCAGGTTGATGACTGATGTAATTGTTACAGACAGTCTGTTTGCACCAGTTATTAAAAAGATCATGAGGGCTATTCCAGTTGTTCCTCCAATACAGGTGACAAAATATACTGTAATCAGCAAATTGTTCGCTGTGGTTCTCTGTATGAAGCAAGATGTCCCATTATGTTCTTCCTCCATATTGTGGTGTAAATTAACCTGAGTAAAATAAACATTAAAACCATAAATGTCAGGGAATAAAGAACCCCACCCCTTGTATTTGAAAGGGAAGTCTAGTTTCCCTTGTCACTTGCCCAACTCTTCATCACTTATTCATCATTTTCCCACTAGAATACCAATGAGTAGTTTTTGTATTTCTTTCTAGATACAAGCAATCATTATCAAAGAGATAGTGGCAAGGATATACACATGGAAATTGATCATGCACATTAGCTAAAGGGTGCTTGATAGGAACAATCTAATGTCTACATACTCTCTGCTGAATCTCCTGGCTGAAGCTTGGGTTATAGCAGTGTTTCTCAACTCCAGCCCTCATGGACCCCCAACAGGTCATGTTTTCAGGATTTCCCTCAGATGAAACAGCTGTGGTAATTACTAAGGCAGTGAAACTGATCAAATCACCTGTGCAAATTAATGGAAATCCTGAAAACATGACCTGTTGGGGGTCCATGAGGACTGGAGTTGAGAAACACTGGGTTATAGCAATGAAGCAAGCTAGACAACCTGATGCCATCAGTACTCTTTTCCTGATAAAGTAGCGCTAAAGGTGTCTGCAGTGCCCCTCAGTTTACTCCTTTGCCCCAAATAGGTAAGCGTTTAAACATGTGCATACCGGAAATTTTTGTTTCATTTTGAATGCATGCGTTCATTTAAGAATTTTGTTTTGTCATACTCATTATGTTAATCCGATTCGTTTTCAGAACTGGTATCGTTATAATCAATATTTGTTACATTTATTCATTGGCCCAGGTGGATTCAAAACATTTTGCTATTTTTCCAGAAGATAGCTACAGTTTTGCTCTAAAGATTACATACCCTGGCAGAAATTGTGAAATTTTGGCATTGATTTTGAAAATATGACAGATCATGCCAAAAAATGCTTTTATTGAAGGATAATGATCATATGAAGATATGAAGCCATTTATTATCAAATAGTTGTTTGGCTCCTTTTTAAATCATAATGATAACAGAAATCACCGAAATGGCCATGATCAAAAGTTTACATACCCTGGAATGTTTGGCCTTGGTACAGACACACAAGGTGACACACACAGGTTAAAATGCCAATTAGAGGTTAATGTTCCACATCTGTGGCTTTTTAAATTGCAATTAGTGTTAGTGTATAAATAGTCAATGAGTTTGTTAGCTCTTATGTGGAAGCACTGACTAGGCTAGATACTGAGCCATGGGGATCAGAAAAAAGCTGTCAAAAGTCCTGTGTAACAAGGTAATGGAACTTTATAAAGATGGAAATGGACATAAAAAGATGTCCAAAGCCTTGAATATGCCAATCAGTACTGTTAAATCACCTATTAAGAAGTGGAAAGTTCGGGGATCTCTTGATACCAAGCCAAGGTCAGGTAGATCAAGAAAGATTGCAGCCACAACTGACAGAAGAATTGTCCGGGATTCAAAGAAAAACCCACAAGCAACCTCAAAAGAAAAACAGGCTGCTCTGGAAAAAGATGGTGCAGTTGTTTTTAAAGAGTATAATACGGTGATACTTGAACAAAAATTAGCTGTTTGGTCGAGGTGCCAGAAAGAGAAGCTTTTACTGCACCAATGCCACAAAAAAGCCCAGTTACAATATGCCTGACAACACCTTGACATGCCTAACCAGGCCTTTTTGTGTCATTGATGCCGTAATGGCTTTTTTCTGGCACCTCGACCATGCAGCTCATTTTTGTTGTACTGTCATCATATTGTGCTCTTTCAAAACAACTACACTGTCTTTTTCCAGAGCAGCCTGTATATTTCTTGTGGTTACCTATGGGTTTCCCTTTGTATCCCGAACAATTCTTCTGGCAATTATGGCTGAAATCTTTCTTGGTCTACCTGAACTTGGCTTGGTATCGAGATCTCCGAACTTTCTACTTCTTAATAGGTGATTTAACAGTACTGATTGGCATAATCAAGGCTTTGGACATCTTTTTATGTCCTTTTCCATCTTTATAAAGTTCCATTACCTTGTTACGCAGGACATTTGACAGTTCTTTTCTGATCCCCATGGCTCAGTATCTAGCCTAGTCAGTGCTTCCACATAAGAGCTAACAAACTCATTGACTATTTATATACTGACACTAATTGCAATTTAAAAAGCAACAGATGTTGGACATTAACCTCTAATTGGCATTTTAACCCATGTGTGTCACCTTGTGTGTCTGTACCAAGGCCAAACACTCCAGGGTATGTAAACTTTTGATCATGGCAATTTGGGTGATTTCTGTTATCAATATGATTTAAAAAGGAGCCAAACAACTATTTGATAGTAAATGGCTTCATATGATCATCATCCTTCAATAAAAGAGCATTTTTTGGCATGATCAGTCATATTTTCAATATCGATGCCAAAATTTCACAATTTCTGCCAGGCTATATAAACTTTTGAGCACAACTGTAAATATTTCTGGTGGATTCGATATTCATGTATCGAAACTATCCAGAAGGATTCAATATTTTCAGACTTAACAGAATAAATAATGCAAAATTCGGCAGCCACAAATTCTTCAAACCTAATAACTTCATTCAACTGTGGAACTGAACTGACTGACTGACAATTACAAATTCAATTTAAATCACAAATTTATTAAAACCTGAATTATCTAACAAATTCAAAAACTGAATTCCTTTCCCCATGGGCCCAAACAACTATCGAATCATGTGACATCTTACGAATGAAACAAATGCATTTGTTAATTTCGTTAGAACTTTTTTCGGATCCATTTATATTTATTACAATGTCCATTTTGAGACTTGTATACATCCAAATCTCCAAAAATCTAATTTTTGGACAACAGTTGTTTTGTTACAAAACAAAATGCACGTCTACTTAGTTTTGGCAGGTGCAGATGCAAGAGAATGGTCAGATTGTGCGTAAACCTTCAACTGCTTTCTGCTATCTATGGAACACTTTTGATCACTCAAGTATACATATAGGAATTAGTGGAGTAATTCTGGAGGAAATTAAAATTACCAATTTATGCCTTCCTAAAAAATTTATTTAAATTAACCTCTAATTTACTATTTGCCACTGTTTAGGGAAACTGTTCATGAAAATAAATTGTATTTGTGCATTGCTGTTCATTCGAAATGTCACCTGAATGCACATATACAGTAAAAATAACAGTAAGAAGTGAATTATGTGTGCATTGTGGTAAGCTGCTTTGCCCAATAGTAGTTCAGGTGCAGTAAGGCTTGACTCATACCTTTCCATGTGTGTTTGCTCAGTTGTTCACACATTCTTAAGAAAACCTTCAAAGTGCATAGGTTGACCTGATGCAACATAAGGTTTGAAAAACCTGTGTTTACATGCACATAAGTAAGACTCAGCCCTAAAGAGTGCAAGGGGCTTATTCAAAGTAAATGGAAGGCATGAAAACTTACCCAGGCATAGGAGGTTATGCACATGCCCACCAAGGCAACCAGGTGGTATATCTTAAAGACACCAGTAATTTCTAATAATATAAAGCAATGACAATTTTTTTTTTTCCATTTTACAACAGTAGACTGGTGTTTTTGATGAGGTCTGTAGGAACTCACAGACAAGGGAATTTAACATGATGCAATGATGAGCAGTAGAAGTTCTTGTTTACATACATAGATTTTTCCAACATGGTTAGAATATATATGCAACCATTGAGCAGACATACCCTTTTCTCCACCGATGAATGAATAATCTTTTAATAGCACTGTGAATATTTGCTGTGGGTTCAGTGACTCAGAAGATCTTTCATCTTTCTTTATTATCATCGAGAGATTTCCTTATAAATAATCAGTTTAAGCTGCCTAGTCAATATGATTAATGCATTAAAACAGCATCATATTAAAACTTACATGAAGTCAGAGATTCTGTCATATAATGTGGAGCAGACATAGAACCTTCTGTGAAAAAAGGCAGTCTAGCAAGAAGAAAAAAACAAATGTTGTCAAACTCATGGTAGGTCTTGCTTTTTTTGCATCTGTGAAAAAAAAGAAGAATTTTATAGCACATCACTTCAAAGGCAGTAAGTATAAGATCAAAGGCATAGTACAGCTGCCAGCATATAAAACTTCCCTCTGTCCCTGATCTACATGCTTGTGAACTGGGCTGTCCAGGAAAACTGGTGATCTGTCAGTTTCTTATCACTGACCTCTATCATCAGTTTAAAGGTCGTATTAAAGAGGCATATTCATTGGAAACGTTTTGGTATTGATCTTTCAGGCTCCATGCACACTGGGCGTTTTAATAATGCTGGTAACGTCAGCTGTGTAAAGTCATGTTAAAAACATGGGCAGCACAGTGGCTAAATGGTTAGCGCTTCCACCTGGGCAGTACTAGGGTCATTGGTTCGAATCCAAGCCATGGCACCACCTGCCTGGAGTTTTCCCTTTGCCTGCGTGGGTTTCCTCTGGGTACTCCGGTTTCCTCCCACACTCCAAAGACATGCTAGTAGGTTAATTGGCTCCTGTCTAAATTGTCCCTAGTATGTGTATGTATGAATGTAAGTTAAGTCCTTAGATTGTATGCCCTTTGAGGGTTAGGGACTGATGTGAATGTACAATATATGTATGTAAAAGCGCTGCGTAAATTGACGGCGCTATATAAGTATCTGAAATAAATAAAACCTGAGTTTTTTTCAGCATTTTTGCATTAGCGTTTTCTTTTTTTTACCAAAAAAAATTATTTTTTTTTTTTGCTCAAAAAAAGTCCAAAAACACTGGTTTGCTGTGTTTTATCGTGTTTTTCAGCATTAGAGCGTTCATACAGCTAAAAATCTCCTCTAGAAACCCCACTAGTTCTGAGGGTTTTTTTCCAGCCAATAAACGTCCCTGCCAAAAAATGCTGATTACAGTCTATGTGTGAATGGACACATAGGATAACATGCTGGGGAGTTTACTGGCTGTAGAAAAAAACGTCAAAAGCCAAAAACAGCCGCTGTAAAAAAAACATCCAGTGTACGTGAGGACTCAAAGTAGATTTTCTTGCCATATAGTAAGCTTGTGTCATAATATTAAGTTGCAAAATATTATGGTTGATTTAAAGTGGTTGTAAAAGCTCAACGTTTTTTACCTTCATGCATTCTATACATGAAGGTAAAAAACCTTTTTATGTGCAAGGGCCCCCCCCCAGCCCCCCTCAATCCTTACCTGAGCCCCCTCCAATCCATTGATGTTCACAATAGCTTCGGCTGGGACAGCAAAGACAGCAGCTGGAGCCCATTGGCTCCCACTGCTGTCAATCACAGCCAGCGAGACAATTAGGAGAGAGCAGGGTGGGGCGAGGCGCTGTGTCTTATGGACGTATACATTGTAGAACCACCGCAGGAATCACGGAAGTGTTGCTAACATCCCAAAATGGTGCAGACAAGTTTTTCTCCTCTAGTAAGAAAGTGGGACTTTTAAGGCAACTCAATACAACATAGGAAAAAAAATATACAAAAAAAGCATTTTATTACAAAATTCAATATAACTCTGCTATACACAAGGGAAACGCTAAGTATGCTTATACAATAATTAGTGT